GATTGTGAGCACACTGACTTCTAAGTGGCACCTACCCTCTTTCAACCAGTTTGAATGAGTCTGCCAAAGACCCACCTACCCGCCACCACCAAAGCAAACCAGAAGATTACAACAAGGACCGAGTATTGACTAACGCCGACTAATATTTTGGGCCATACGAGTCACAAGTTCACCATGATGATGAAGGACAGATTATTTCTTGTAACAGAGGACAGCAAAATGGCAATTACCAGAAATTCACATGTACAAATGAAATATAATTATGAAAAATGAAGAAATGAAGTTGATTCCTGAGATAAAGAGAGATCTAACGTGACACCTGTGGATAAGAGGTCCTGTGTGAGAAGGAATTAGGGCTGCTAACCAGCAAGGGTCCTCCTAGTCCAGCCTGTTGGACAATGTTCACCCTTAGGGCCACAAGGATTGGTCGGATTGCAGGGATAGCCATATGAGGCGAGACTGAGGGAACTGGGCCTTCTCATCCTGGAGAAGAGGAGACTCAGAGGGGATCTGTTAGTGACATACAGGTATGCGAGGGGATGTCACATGGAGGTGGGTTGAGACCTGTTTTCCCCTGTGGAGTTGGGCAGAAAGTATTCCAGTTGAGCAAAGCTCAGGGAACCAAGGTTCAATTTGGATGCCAGGAAGTACTTCCTGACAGTTAGGACCCTGAGGGTGTGGAATGGGCTTCCATGGGAGGTGGTTGAAGCCCCATCAGTGAGGGTGTTCAAGGATAGGCTGGACATGTACATGGTAGGCATGTCATGAGTGGAGCCAGTTGGAGCTGGGGGTCAGACTAGATGGTCCTGGAGATCCCTTCTGACTTGCTCTATTTCTATGTTCTCCTGGGTCCACAACGTTGCTCTGGCTTATTAGACAACCCTAATATTGGGTCCTCTCCCCACCTGCCCAGCAGCGACACCACGCTGATGTTGCAGTGGGTTTCCCAGCTGATCTGCTTGCTCCAAAGCTCACCATGAAGCCTCCTCCCTCCCACCCAACAACTTGAGAGAAGAGAGGAGGAACATGCTGGGAACTGAAGTAGCCACAAGCTGCCAGTTCCAAAGCTGACTTCACTGAAAGGCCCTTTGTCCATCGACGAGAGGCAAATGCATGCAGTTTCCAACTGAATTAGAGCTGATTGGGTAAATGTCAGGTCCCGGCATGCAGGCTGAAACAACCTCGCCATCTGCTGCCCTTTTAATTGCGTTGGATTGCAACTCGCATTGGGAAAGATGGTACTTGGAGTCCAAGGCACTCAGAACATTTCAGGTCTTGGGGAAGGCTGGACTAAAGCAATGCGGTGACACTGCTGAAGCTAAGCATGCTTAGTAATTAAACAAGACAAACACGTGGTCGGAAGCAGCTCACTCAGGCCTTTCCACCCCCTGGAACGCTTATCATATTTATGGCATGGCCACTGGGAAACAGCTTACAATATCCTGCTTTATGATGTTGCTGTTTCGTGCCATCAAGTCACATCTGACTTCTGCCAACTCCGTGAAAGCATTCCTGCCCAGGTCTTGTAGCTCAAAGCTGTGGTTTGCTTTGTGGAATCGATCCATCTCACATCTGGCATTTAATATGTGAATGAAATCCTTTAAAAGGCTAAGCACTAACCATTGAGTGTTGGGAGTAGGAGGGGGGTTATCAGGTGGCCTGCAAGGGCAATGCTCTGATTCCACGCTCTGTCCCCTCCTGCCGTGGAGTCCACGCACTGCAGATGCCAGGTTTTGCAAAGCAACGGCCCTCCGCTGCACCGGAGAGGACCGTCTCTCTCCTCCACTGCAGCGGTGGTGACCTCCCCAGCTGGTGGCAGCAACTGGTGTTGGCCCGGCGAGGCAGGGAGTCGGAGATGCTGCAGCTCATGCTGCCCAGAGGACTACTTTGGAGGCGGCCTCTCCTGTGCCGGGGGCCTTCTTCTTCCCGTTCAGTGCCTGCTCTGAACCTGAACCTTCCGTATTCCTGGGGCTGCGATTCCCATCAGCTCCAGCCAACAGGGATGTTGGTCAAAGTCTGAGGATGACGGAAGGTATATTGCTAAACATATGGCAGAAACCAGGTTGGAGTAGCCCCAACCTGACAGGCCATCTTTGGTGTTCTCCACAGTTTGTTGGGTTTTTCCCCCCTTAATTTCTAATATGTCTTCAAAATATTTAGATGACTCTGATCCCCCAGCAGTGTCCCCAGGACTGGTGCAGCCATGGCAGTGGAGCACCTGTGCCACCATATTCTTTAGCATGGTGTCAAAGAGGAACCCGGAAATCAATCCGAAAATTTTCTAGTTGGGGTCTCTCAATGAAATGACTCATTTATCACAGGCAACGACGTGAGATGTGCCAATTTTGGCAGAAAGGTGAGATGTTGTGTGTGTGTGTGTGTGTGTGTGTGTGTGTTTGTGAGATATAACACTGACAAATTCACAACAGTTCTGAAACAGTCGAGAAAGCGCTTCTTATTCTGTAATACTCCGTTTCCGTCAAGTAATTCGTACTTGTGGCTGCCTTGATCTCTCTCCTTTGATTTTACTACAACGAGTTGTATTCACCCCTTTTATGATTCATGAAACTTGCAATGTCCAGGTTTTTAGGCTGAATATTAAAACTTATATCCCCTAGGAGGGAATTGAAAAGCAAGAGGGTCATTGCTCTTTTTCGCTCTCAGCGGGGCACCGGAATGCTTAAGCAGATGGAGCAAAGCCCTATTAGATGATCTAAAGCTCCCCAGTGGTTCAAAATTACACTCCCCAGACAGAAGGGTGATCTGTGAGTGACCCTTCGCACGGCGGCGGCAGGAGGCGCGCGGGTCAAGGGTACAGCTTCGACGCTGCAAAGCGCTCCTTTGAACACCAACGGCTTTGCCTAGCGAAAATGCTTATTTCGGAAACTGGGTGACACATTCATGCTATTGGCTCAATGTATTAATATTTACATTTTTAACTAATTTAATCTAATTATTCTCAGTCACAGCTTCTTATGTTCATAAGAATTTTACTTCGCTGTATTTATTTATTGTAATTGATTATTATCTTGTAAGCCATCCTGGCATGTTTGAGAAGGACGGGGTGGAAACACGGCAAATAAATAAATAAATCAATAAATAAGCAAGCTGCACATGGAGAAGAAAAAGGGTATTCTCCTTCTTAAGCTAATGAAGAGTCGTCATTCATGCACCACCAATAAATAAACAAGACAACTGTTTGCATAAGGGGTACAGATGCTCATTTCGATTGCATGGACATCTGGAAATATTTAAGATAAATTCAGCTGGCTGTCCACTCCAGTATCCTTGCCATGAAACCCCCATGGATAGTACTGAGGTGGCCGCATGGGGCAGTGGGCGTGGACTCCAAGGGGTGGTGGAGGACAGGAGAGCATGGAGGAATGCTGTCCATCGGGTCATGATGGGCCGGGCACCACTTTGTGACTAACAACAACAAAACTGGCTGTGGATGGGCACGTTCAAAGCTGTTCAAGAATGCACTTCCTCCCTGTGGTTCTTTATGTCTAAACTGGACTGGATCCCCCTTCAAACAGAGGAAGCGTTTGCAAAATAGGCCACCCAGCCACCCTGGTTTGTGGGCAAGGAGTCACCTGGCGGCAGCATTAGCACCGGGTTTAGGTATACTTGTGCCATTCAGATGTTTTG